GTAGATTGTGTGTTTCTAGATATTTGTCCATTTCCTCAAGGTTTTCATATTTGTTTGAGTATAGTTTTTCATAATATTCTAATGTTAACTTTTTCATTTTAGTTGGGTCTGTTGTGATGTTGCCTGATTCATCTCTTATTCGGATTATTTTTGTCTTCTCCTTCTTTTCTTTTGTGAGTTTTGCTAGTGGTTTGTTGATTTTATTGACCTTTTCAAAGAACCAACTGCTATATAGATGTTTTTTTAAGTGACTAAAATGTAAGTCATTAAACCAAACTGTTGTCAAAGTGAAAAGAACCTTAATGTGACAAGATTATTTCCCCCTCCATCAGATGGTTAATGTGTTGACATCATAACAAGGTTTAAGGGAGGCACATAATGTGACAAAATTTTTAAAAGTATTGTGGTTTTCATGCCGAAGTGGTGTGAATGTTTCTTTTTCTCTGTTACTGCTTGTAGGTATTGTGCCAGGTTCTGAGAAGATCAGGAGAATAGTTGAAGTCTTGAGAGCTGATGTAATCCAGGGTCTGGGGATCCAGCTTTTAGAGCAGGTGTATGAGCTTTTAGAAGAGGAGGATGAATTGAAGAGAGAGGTGAGTGTCTCATTGACTGTGTCAGACATCATGTCATAGCATTTTTCTAACAGCTTTTTAGAAATGTAATCCACATACCATACAGTTCGTCCATTTCATAGGTAAAATTTGATAGGTCTTACACATTGTATTACAGAACTGTAAAACCACCAGTCAATGTGAGAACATTTTCAACTTTCCTTACCCAAAATCCTACACCTGTTAGTACTCACTCTCAGTTCCCTCTTGCACTAATTCCCTCTTCCCATGGAACTAAACCACCACTCATCTGTTTTCTCCCACTCATCTGTTTTCTGACTATAGATTTGCCTATTCTGGTTATTTCATATGAATAGGATTGTACCCTATGTGGTTACCCAAGGTGGACAGTATTTGGTGGAGCTCCCTCATTAAAACAAGCTTGGAAGCAAGAGTGCCATCCACTTCTGAAATAGCTTGACTCCAGAAACCATATGAATTTGGAGAAACAATGACAGTTATACAAGTGTTCAGGTCTTTCATTCATAGGGTCGCTATGAGTTGTCTATGACCCAACGGCACTTCACCACCACCACCACCACCCACCACTCCCACCCCCCGCCCCCCCCCCGTGTGGCTCTGTGATTGTGTTCTTTTACTTAGCATAATGTTTTTGAGGTTTATCCATGTTTTAACATTTGTATCATTTTTTTCTGACATATGGATTGTTTATCTATTCATAGGCAATCTGCATTATATCCGTCTTCTGACTTATGAATGCTGCCGCTGTGAACTTTTATGTAAAAGTTTTGTGAACATCTGCTTTTTCTTGGGTATATACTTAGGAGTGGATTTGCTGGGTTATATAGTAACTCAGTGCTTAACTGTTTAAGAAACTTCTAAACTCTCCCAAAGCAGCCACACCATTTTACATTCTCATCTGCAATAAATAGACTTTTACTTTCACCATGTCATCCCCAATACTTGCTATTACCTGATTTTTAAACTATCATCATTTTTGTGCGTATGAAGTAGTATTCATTGTTGTTTAGATTTGCATTTTCCTAGGACGAAGGAGTGGCATGCACTTCTAAACAACCTGCCTCTGGAAACTCTATGAACTTTGATAAATGTTGGGGGGAAAAAAGGCTTCAGGCCTTTTGTTCATAGGGTCGGTATGAGTTGTGCCCGACTTGATGGCAATCAACAACAGTGACTAATAGGGAACTCTGGTGGCCTAGTGGTGAGAAGTTGTGCTGCAATACCGACAGCACACGGCAAGTATTCTGAATCTGCCAGCTGCATCACACGAAAAGGATGGGCATCCTCATCCAGTGTGATTAGCTGCCTCTGAAAACCCACTAGAGGGTCAGCTTTGGGTAGGTTCTAACTCCATGGTACTCACAACAACAGTGGCCTAGTGCTGCCAGCTCAAAGGTGAGTGTTTCCTTTGGAGAAAGACAAGCAATCTCCCCCACACAATTTTTATTTTCTGAAAACCCACTGGAGGGATCAGCAGTGGTTCCAACTCAGCAATAAGGGTATTTTATTGTAGACCCAGTCACACATTATAAATGGATTGTTTTATATAGTTGCTTTTTAGTCAACTGCGAGAATAATAATATATTTATAATGGTTTGTATTTTCCTTCAATATGAATTGAAGGGAGCTCTGGTGGCCTAGTGGCAAGAAGCTGCACTGCAATCCCAGAGGAACACGGTTCGAATCCACCAGACGCTCTGCCGGAGAAGGAGGCGCAATATCCTCCTGTACCAGTCAGATCTGATTTGACGGTACACGCACACAAAATTTAAAAAAAAAATATGAATTGAAGCTCAACATCAAGAAGACAAAGATTCTCACCACTGGGCCAATTGGCAGCAACATAATAGATTGAGAAGAGATTGACATTGTTAACAGTTATAGCTTGCTCAGCTCCACAGTCAGCTCTTTTGTCACCAGCAGTAAGGAAATCAAAAGATGAATTGCATTAGCTCATTCTGCTGAATGGGACCTCTCTTAGAGTCCTAAAGAACAACGATGTCAGTCTAGAGACTAATGAGCGCCCAAACCAAGCCAGTCTTCACAATTACTTGCTATGCATCAGATAGAGAGCTGGACAATGACTAAGTATGACAGAAGAATTGATGCCTCTGAGCTATAGTGCTGGAGAAGAGTATTGAACATACCATGGACCACCAGTAGAACACATAGGTCTGTCTTAGAGAGGGTGAAGCCAAGTTTCTTCTTGGAGGCTAGGATTTTAAAGCTGTCTTACATACTTACTTACATACTGGCATGTGGCCCGGAGGGACTGGTCCTTGGAGAAGAACATCATGCTCAGAAGGGTGGCGGGATCATGTAGGAGAGGAGTACCCTGGATGAGATGGATTGATAACTGGAGAGATAGGATTAGGTGTGTCAGAATCAGTGGGATTGGCAGATCAGGACATGACAGGCTTCAGTGCTGTTGAAAATACAGGGTCCCTATGAGTTGCAGGTGATTCAGCGGCACATAACAACAATTACATAAGCCTACCAGTGTTCTTTGTATTGTCATGTGAATTTTAATTGCTCTTGGATCCTATACTTTCAGCCTGAAGAATCTTCATTTTTTTGTATGGTGGGTCTGCCATCGGCACATATTGTTTGTTTTTATATAGTAATGTCTTTATTTTGCCCATGTTATTGAAATGTAGCTTTCCTGGATATAGGATTTTTGATAGTTCTTTAGCCCTAGTTTTCTAACGTATGTATAATAGCTACTATGAAATTGTTAAATCTGAAGAGACCGTATCAAAGATAAAGAAGCTAGGTACAATGCTTTGAAAGAGAAGTAGGCCCAAAACCTCCATTGATAGTTAAGTTCAATTCCAACTTATGGCAACAACCTTCCTCAGGTTTCCAAGCCTATAAATCTTTATAGGAAGAGGCTGCCTTATCCTTATCCCAGGGAGGGGCTGGTGACTTTGAACTGACTAATGAAAAGGCTGGTAGTCTAACACTTAAGGCCCTCTGTGCTACCAGGGCCCTATACATAGTAGAAAACTTCAACTTACTGCTGTCAAGTCAGAACCTACTTGAGCTGATGGGACTGCAGAGACTGTAAATGGCACAGAAACAGACTCCCTCTTTCTCCAGAGAAACAGCTCGTAGATTCAAGCCCCGTTTTTGGTTTGGCAGTGCAACTCCTTACCTACCAGAAGACCTCAAATAGAACTATTAGCATTTTCTCTTATTGTTTCCACTTTCAGCATTGGGTTTAGAAAAGCCTTTCTTAAGATTACATTTTCTCTTACTACATACTGATTTTCCTTTTTCTGTTTTCTAAGGAATGTTTGCAAGAGCACATGGGTGAAAAGTATGCAGCTTACAGTGTGAAAGCTCGCCAGTTGAAATTTTTTGAAGAAAATGTGAATTTTTGAGAATTTGTTCTAATCTGCTGCCAGAATTAAAGACCTATTTTCAAGACTTTTATTTTTTAAATAAAGGCAAACAAACTTTTGACAAAGGCTTAAAGGCCATTCAGGGTTTTCTTACCAAAGGAAAAAACGTGTCCTGAATGGACTAATATGAAACAAACTCAAAAAAGGAAATCCCATAGGTGTCATATTTTTTTTTACGAGAATAATCTGTTACATTTGTTTACTGTTTCCTGAGCCTTAAATGACCAACTTTTTATCTAGAACTTTATTTTTTTTAACTTACTAATTAGCTTAAAAACAGGGCCATAAAATACAGGTTTTACACTGAACTATAGTGACACAAGCAATAGGAGAAACAAATGACTGAACAACAGTGGCCAGTGATAATTTGTTAGTAGCATTAGGTTGCAAGTGACATTATAAAAAAAAGCCAAATTCAGAATAGATTAAGTTGTAACCATTTGTTCTTGATCGGTTGAACTCCTTAACACTCAGATATTTAATTCCTTTTCATGTGGTATGAACCTTCTTTAGAGCATTTAAGAGTTGAAACTAAGACATACTTGGTTTTATAAATGTCATTACATATGACCATGCTAGACTTGTTTCCATTCGCTAAAACATTTCTTAAATACTAACTTCTTTTAGAATTAAGCAATTTTTAAGTTGAGATCCTTCTCATTATATTGGGTAATGTTTGTCTCCTGATTCCATATACATCAATACTGGTGGTTGTCTCATGTTCTAAGTGTAACATTTGTATACATTTTTTATTAGTTGTTTAAAAGGGATTACCCTGCTAAGAAACAAAATTTTTATAAAGGAAGTCTTCAGTAAATTTTTACTTCTGTGTTCAGGGGACTCTACAAATGAATATTGCTAATGCGTTTCTTTTGTAATTTGAAAGTCTAATTTACATTCTTTGAAAATTATCCATAAACACAGTACTCTAATGAAATGTTCCTCTTCCGGTTTTTCAACAAATTTTGTCAAGTGTTTACTAGGTGCCAGGTGCTGGGGATATGGTACTAAATAATGGCGTGTAAATAAAACAGACTTCTTGCTTTTAACAATGTTCACAGCCTGATTTCTAAGGTCTTGTAATCATTCTGAAAAACCAGCTGAGGGCAGATCTTTGGCTATTGGTCTTCCTGAGATGTTCAACTCTTACTGCATGTTTTGAAAATCAATTCTTTGGAAAGTTACCAGTTTTACTTAAGCTTTCTAACTTATTGGTGTTAGCACATACTATACTTTTATTTTCATGCTGTTTTTATTTTGCTTAAACATTAAACTTTTCATCTCACTGTTATTATAGGATTCTTATTTTCTTGAGTGCTTAATTTATTTTTCATCTTTAATTAAATTATAAAACATTTTTAAGTGCTGAATTTCCCTCAGGATATGCTTTTGTTCATATTTTTGCAACTCATTTGTTTTGTCAGTATTTCTGGTTTCAATATTCTCTTTTAAAAATTTTTCTTAATTTCCACATACTTAGGAAGCTTTAGGAAGTTTGCTTTTAAGAGTGTTGAATGTACCATGGACTGCCAAGAAAACAAACAGATTCATCCTGTTGTTGTTGTTATGTGCTGTCGAGTCGTTTGCGACTCATAGCGACCCTATGGACAACAGCCCTAAACCAAACCGTGCTCTATCCCGTGCCAATCTCATTGCCTCTGACACACCCATCCCGATTACCCCAGTCACTGAATCAATCCACCTCATAGAGGGTCTTCCCCTCCTGTGCTGTCCCTCTACTCTACCCAGCATGATGTCCCTCTCTAAAGACCTGTCTCTCCTTACAACATGTCCAGAGTATGTCAGGCGAAGCCCCAGAATCTTTGCCTCCAAGGAGCAGCCTGGTTTAACCCTCTCTAGGATGAATCTGTTTTCTTGGCAGTCCATGGTACATTCAATACTCTTCTCCAGCACCACTGCTCAAAGGCGTCAATTCTGCTTCTATCCTCCCTAGTCATTGTCCAACTCTCTGATGTATAACAAGTGATTGCAAAAACCATGGCCTGTATCAGGCGCACCTTAGTCTCCAGAGAGACACCGTTGCTCTTGAGTACTTTAGAGAGGTCCCTAACCACAGACTTTCCCATCGCGATACGTTTTTTGATTTCCTGGCTACTGGTGCCAAGAGTGTTGACCATGGAACCGAGCAAACTGAAGCTGTGAACACTCTCAATCTCTTCATCATCCATCCTGATGCTACCGATTGGTTCGGTGGTGAGAATTTTTGTCTTCTTGACATTGAGCCACAGTCCATACTGAAGGCTGCAGTACTTGACCCTCTGCAGTAAGTGCATGAGGTCCTCCTCAGTTTCAGCAAGCAAAGTTGTGTCATCTGCATAACGCAGATTGTTGATAGATCATCCACCAATCCTAACGCCACGCTTCTCCTCATAGAGCCCAGCCTCTCAGATAATCTGCTCTGCATACAGGTTGAAAAGATATGGAAATAGGACACATCCCTGGCGTACACCCTTCCCAATTTTGAACCATGCAGTCTAGATTCATCCTAGAGAGGGTTAAACCAAGCTGCTCCTTGGAGGCCAGGATTCTGGGGCTTCGCCTGATATACTTTGGACGTGTTGTAAGGAGAGACAGGTCTTTAGAGAGGGACATCATGCTGGGTAGAGTAGAGGGACAGCACAGGAGGGGAAGACCCTCTATGAGGTGGATTGATTCAGTGACTGGGGTAATCAGGATGGGTGTGTCAGAGGCAATGAGATTGGCATGGGATAGAGCACGGTTTAGGGCTGTTGTACATAGGGTCGCTATAAGTTGCAAACGACTCGACGGCACATAACAACAACATAGTATAACCAGGGTGCTCCTTGGAGGCAGGGATCATGTAACTTCGTCTCACATACTTTGGACATGTTGTCTGGAGGTGCCAGTCCTTGGGAAAAAGACATCATGCTTGGAAAAGCAGAGGATCAGCAAAAGGGAGGAAGAACCTCAGTGAGGTGGATTGACACACTGGGGCTGAGCTTGGGGATCATTGTGAAGACGCTGGCAAAGGTTGATTCGACGACACCTAACAACAGTAATTGTTGCTGAATTTGATCAGCACAATCGTAACTTGAAACTGTTGTTTCCCTGTGGCTTCAATATATGACCCGTTATTGGAACGGCCCTACAGACATTTAAGAAATGTGAATTGTGCATATAATCTTTTATTCAATATTAACCAAACCTCCTAATTACCTAATGAATTTTGTGATAATGGAAAATTGTAGTATCGGTGCTATTCAGTACATTGGTTACTAGCTAGCCATCTGTGACTACTGAGCCCTTGAAATATGGCTAGTTTGAGAGACTTAATTTTTCATTTAAAACCAAGCTAGGCTGGTGACCCTAACAGACCTACGGGACAGAGCAAAACTAGTTCAATTTCCAAAGTCATGATCTTCACAGAAGCAGACTTCTAGAGCCTCGTCCTGAGTGTCCAGTGAACTTGAAAACTGCTGGCATCCTGGTTAGCAACCAAATAGTTAAATACTGTACCACCAGAGCTTGTCACATTATATGGTATATGGAGCTGCTAACTGAAAGGCAGTGGAATCCATCAACCATTCAAGAAGAGGGATAGTAGACAGAGGCCACGCCCCTCATGTTCTGTTCACTTAAAAAAAAAAAAAGATTTAGACTAAAGATTTAGTCTTGGAAACTTGATGATCAACTCAATGGAGTGTTTTTTTTAACTGACCACATACCTAGTAACATCATTGTGCACTGCAGTTTTCTATCATTTACTCAATAGCTACTAGCGGTGTCTGCGGCCTTTGGGTGAGCAACACAACTCTCCAGTCTAATGCCACCAGAGTTCCCTAACAGGTACTGAGCATCTATTATGTCCTGTACTGTTATAAATACTGGGTCAACAGCAAGAAGCAAAACAGCCTCTATTCCATGGAGCTTACCCTCAAGTAGGAAAATAGAAATATTTACATGCTAAATGGATGGAGCAGGCAACTTTAACAGGAGTAAGGAAGGTCACTCTGCAGAAAGCCTTATCTGGGTGTTATGTACTGTCAAGTCCAAACTGACCCAGAGGCAGCAAATCACACAAGAGGAAATTACCCATCCTTTCTCCATTGGAGCACATAAGCGTATTCAAATCAATGCCTCTGGGTTGTCAGCACAGTTCCTTAACACTAAGCTACCAGCGCTCCCTCCTCTGGGTAAACATCGGAATAAGAGGAAGGAGAAAGTCCTGGTTCTGAGGGAAGATGCTGTAGGTACAGGAAATAGCAAGTGCAAAACTGTACACTGATCTTGTGTCCCCTTGATTTGTCAAATTCTGAAAGGGTCTGTTATAGGTTGATTAAAGAAACCTGTGTCTGGTACTGTAGTTAAAGCATTCCACAGCTGTGGTTTTAGACTAAAAGTTGACTTTTTTTAGCCGTTAGCTACCTCTGGTCTCTAGCTACCCTAACTGCAGAAGATCTTGCAAATTAGCTTCAGCTGAGGGACTATAAGAGAGTGCTTCCCACACTGGACAGCAAGACTTAAGGGGGCAGGACCCTGGTGGTGGAGAGACTGACATTTCTGTGGGCAAATGGTGGCACAGTGTGACGTGAGGCTTCTTGGATTTGTGCTGGTCACAGCTGGATATTGCTGTTCTTGCCTTTGATGGAAGGAAAAGCTGCTTGCTGAAATGAAACCAGAGCCTGGACTGAGGAGTTGTGCCTTGGAACTGCTGGGCTAAAACGTGGACTTACATTGGGTGATACTGTGATATTCTTTGCCTCCCCCTCTCTCCAACCTTCTTCCCTAATAAACTCCATTTTTGGTTCCATAACTGTGAGTCAGCAACAAATAAACGATCCCTTAGTGTTGGTGGGGCTCTACAGGCACTGTAAGGCTGGGCGCTGGACTTCTGACCTGCTTTCTGCTCTGCGTGGTGTGGGGCTGTGTTATTCTCACACTCGAGCCATTCAGAGAGACACTCATGGTCCTGTGCCCCGTATCCCGTTTTCCCCTATTTAGACAATGGATAATGAAAAGACTGGTGGTTTGAACCTACCGGCTGCTAAAAGATAAGGCAGCTGCTTCCATTAAATATTTACAAGTCTTGGAAATGTCACAGGGCAATTCTACTTGGCCCTACAGGGTCGCTATGAGTAGGGATTGGCCTGATGGCAGTGGATGTATGTTTGATTTGCATGTCCCCAAAAGATACATTTAATTCCTAAGTACCAACATTTGTAAAATGTGGCATTGGGAAATGTCTTTGCAGGTATGTGTTTATGTGAAGTTAAAATGGAAAGCCACATACACGGGCCATATATGCACATACAGAGCTCACGTGTACACATGCACACATAGCTCATGCATACATGTGCACACACATGTGCTTTGCTCAGGGCTCCCACATAAAAGCACACTCACATGCACATGTGGCTGACATGCACACACAGCCCATGTATACACATCACATGCACGTACACACATACAGCTCACACATACACTCGTGTGCACTCTCAGCACACTGTAGTGCACACACTGGGCTCACGTGATGCACACTGTTGTGCTTACACATGGCTCACATGCACACTCATGCATACACATATGGGCACACACACAACTCACACATGTGCACAAACTCACACATGGCCTTCACATATACTTTGCATGCACAATCCATGTATGCACACATGTACACACACTTGAGTGTTTACACATGACTTACACGTGCACACACAACTTACACTTATATCAACACACAGAGCTCATGCATATACACTCATGTGTGCACAGTGGGGGACATGCACACATGTCCATGTGCACACACATGACTCACGCATACACACACCCAGGTATTTGTGCACATACTCTTGTACATGCACATACACTCATGTGCACGCCCATTCACTGTTACTAAACAGCTCATGAGTTTCCTCTCCTTGCTGGAAGTACCACCTTTCCTGGTCCCCATTGGTCCTGGTTGTTACGCCCCATGAACGACAAGCCCTGTAACCCCCCAGCGGCTTTGGTGCTGCCCGTGCAGCCAGTGTCGCTCTTCAGCACCCATGCCATTTCCAGAAGACACTGCCAAAAGCACAGGGTTGAAGTGGCTCGTGTTGGTGACAAAAGCCATTCTTTTCCAGCCACACCCTGTCCTTTCTAGCCCAGAGCTGGTCCTTGTGGTGGAGACCTGTGTGTCCTAGAGGGTGGCCATGCTTGTCCAGCTGGCGGCCACTCCTCCTGCCCCAGCCTGTGGCCTCTGGCTGTCTGAGAGAGGAGAATTTAATTTTTACAAGATTAATGGCATTAGAGCAATATTTTCAGCTGAGTCTGGTTCGAATAATAGGCCATTAATTGAACAAGGAAATTGAAATGAAAAAAAAAAAAAGGAAAGCCATACTCTACTGTAAATACTGGTATTAGAGAAAAAGAGACAGATATGCAGAAGAAAGACAACATTCTCCCCTCCTCAGCCCCTGGAAATTAAAAAAAATCTTTTTCTCTCTGGTCCACCCCAAGTAAAGCATGGAGTAAATGTTTTCTGCTTAACAACACCTTTATTTCGGTGGTACCAAAATACTACTTTATCATAGGTTTACATATTTAAGGTTTTTCAATAGGCAATGGCTGTGGTTAAGACCTATTTGGAATTTGAAAATACAGTAAACAGTAGTGATAGGTTTCTAAATTTGTTTTTCATTAATAGTTTTGCTTACAGAATAAGAATGGGAAACAAAAGGACTCAAGACTTGTGCTGTGAGTTTTAACTGAAAAATGTTAAATTGTTTACTCAGCAGATTATAAAACGTTGCTAGTTAAATATCATTTACGAGGCATTTAGTTTTTGTTTACATAGACCTGAAAGAATCTTTGTATATACTTGGTGTTTTCTTTTCTCCATTTCAGAACAAGAAGATCTAAAACATTTAGAAATGAAAATCCCACTGGGTTAGAGATGAAATTACAGAGAACTCAATATACACACAGCAGTGCCGTAACAACATCGGTGGCTTTTAACTCACGTTTGGGGTAGGAAAGCAATTTAGCTCATTCACACCAACACAAAACCTGCTGCTACAGAAAAGCTGAGTCACAAAACATTAATTATTTTTCGCATGCCTCTTAATTTTTCTGTCCCCTGGTTTCTTGTCTTCTGTTCCTGAATCCTGAACAGGTAACCACTTGAGGGGATGCCGACGATAGATGGGCCAAGGAGGAAGGGTCAGCTGGTCCAGAACAGAGAGGGAATGAATGAATCAGTTACAGCCGTTAAAAAGAGCATTATGTAAAAGGCTTAGTTCCCAGATAACACCTATGCTAAAAGTTTAAAAAAAAAAAGCAAACCCAAATCAACATACTGCTAGGAAAGCTCTGTGACAAGACACTTAGATGGAAACAAGTCTTAAATAAATGACTTTAACAGCTCAAAGAAAGGTGAAAAAACAATGTAAGGAACTCCTGTTTGTTTTGACTCTTAATCAGAGAAAAATAAGGTCTATCTTTTTCTGTAGCTCACATTGTCTCACAATATTCTACTTTCCCAGTGACAAGAAACAGCAGCTGGTCCGTGAGGAGAGAGGAAACATCAATCAAATCAAAAAATCAAATTTTAAGTGCCACTAAAACCCAGTAACCAATAAACTTCTTACCAAACACGAAAAAGCAAATCCGGCCATAACTATATAGACAGTCCATCCAAACTGTTCAGCCACGTACCCATAGATAAATCCAACTATCTAAAGACAAAGAAATAATGTTCATTACAGTCAGGCTGGGGAAGGAAAAAGGAAAACTGGGGTGTAAAATCAATACTTACTGCAGAAGAAAGTATAATGCCCTGAAACATCTGCTCAGCTAGCTTCTGGCCCTTGTAATCCTAGAAATGGGAGAGTAAACTGTAACTAATGGTTAACTCCACAATAAGGGATCTATCTTTCACTTTTCTATAAATTGCTTGTCTGTCAGATACTTCTCTAAATCTGAACATTCAGATTAAGACATTGGCCATCCACTTCCGAAATAGCAGGCCTCTGAAAACCCTATGTACAACAGAACACACGTAGACTAACGGAAAAGGCAACTGAGGTAGAGCTTTCAAGTGACTGGGGCAATGGGGTGGGTGTGTCGGAGGCAGTGCGATTGGCACAGGACAGAGCAGGGTTTGGGGCTGTTGTACTTAGGGTCGCTATGAGTCGCAAACGACTCGAAGGCACATAACAACAAGAAGGCAGGAATTGGCTCAGCCACTGAGCAAGTCCCGTTTCTGTCCTCAAAGCTTTGGCGCAGGGCAACTTCAACGTGAGGAGGGCATCTCCCTGAAGGCATAGGGAAGGAGCCCAATTCTGGGTTTCCCCGGGGGGACTTAGCACCCTAACGGCTCAGAGCCAGGAGGATACTCGCAGGGAGACGGGAGAAAAGGACCCAACGAGCACCAAGCACGCAGGGACGAGGATGGAAGCGACACTGCACCGGCTCGGGTTCAGAAGCAGCAGGCAGGGGCCCGGGCCGTGTCCCACCCTCACCATCTGCGTGGGCAGCGAACTCAGATGCTCCAACATGACTGCCCGAGAGGACGCGCGGCCGAGCTGGGGCAGCAGGCTGCAGAACGAGGGCAGGTCAAAGGTCCGGTCCTGCGGACACGCTGACGGGCTCCCCAAGCCACGTCCTGTGAGCCCCGTCAACCCGGAAGCGGATGTCTTCTGCAGTTCGAGCCAGCGCTTGGCCCCGCCCCGCCCGCTCGTTAGGCGACGTGCGCTGACGGAACTGGGCGCAGCCGGGCGCGCCGCCCGCCAAGGTTGACGTGGCACCGGCGGCGGCCGGGCTGGGCCATAGCGCGCTGGGGTCGGGTTCGCCGTCAGGGCCGCTGGGGCCCGGCAGCCGCGGCCCGGGCCTCTCAACGTGTACGCGGCCTCCCGGCCGTTAGCGCGTCCCTCGTCGCCATGACGACAGGCTGTCTCCGTGAGGACCCCGGCGGAGGGGCTGCCCCGCGGCGCCTGCTCGGCTCGACGATCTAGTAGTTGGCGCCGCCGGCGGACAGGGCGGGGC